AATCATATTTCACAATTCAAACCGGTTAGGCACGTACAATTTACAAATAGATAACACAAGGGCACCGTATACACAGGTTGACTCAAACTAACGACATGCTGCGTACAGGCCAGAACTTGATTTAAGACGAGTAAAACGAGCTCCAATTCGACTTCTAATACATCAGTTTGAACAAAGTTAGCTGGGGTTCCACCTACCATAAACACCTGCAGCAAGTACGAGCGAAACCGTCAAGAACCACTGCCGTAAACAATTCATGTACGCACATGCAAATCCAAGTGAGCCGTCCCCAAGCTGAAGAAGCAGAACTCACGATCTCTGACAAATTTATGCTAAACAAAACGCCCTAAAAGGAAAGAACCTACGATATTGAATGTTCAAAATTCTTAAACAAATACTTTTTAAGTAAATTTTTTAATAACAACCATCCAGTTTTTTTAGCCAAACAGCCAATAATTACATTTTATGAAAAAAATGTCTTTTTCATGTTAGCATTTATCACACATTTTATTCATTGGCATATGGACTTGTAAATACATCTTTTTCATCGATGACTTTTTACCATAACAAACATGCATATACACGTTTACCGTTGTCCCTTGCAAATATAAGCCTAGAAAGTTAAAAGCCATTTGGTATTCTAATTCATTACTCGAGTGAATGACTTGCACAACGGTCACCTTCATGCAGCCCTGTAAACATGACTCGGAGAAAGAAGGACCCAAGTGTTGGTGGACTTGGAATGTGATAGAAGCACTGACAGGGTGAAAGCAACGAATCCACTAGTGCTGGTATGCATAATGCGAGTAGGAAAGTGGTGTCAGTCTAGGCTAATACACGAATCATATCCACCTCAAAGAAGTAGAATTTAGCACTAATTATTTCCACAACTGGCTGTGACCATCTAATTTCAAGCCTACAAGAGAAGATTTATTGTTTTTTACTAGGCCAGGTGAAGGAACGGAGGAGAAAATTCAAAAAGGACTTTGTCAGCGAAATTCTATTCAATTATTTTCAAAAAGGCTGTTCTGAAGAGTGACGTCTTTAAGCATTCATTCGTATGACGCTTGAAGTTTGTCGCAGGCTAACCCAGTGGAAATCTTCATAGAGGCACCGCTGACAGCTCCGTCACAAGATTTTTTTAGATAATTAACGAGTGTTAGCAGCGTTTCTGAAAACAGGGAATACGAACATGTACCGAGTGTCATTTACTAAGATCCTGTTAAAGCTCGACATGGGTTCTCCCACGCACAGAAGTGACGGGATTACTGGCATGTCCCACAGGTCATGCTGCCCATCAGAAGCATAAGAAAGAAGTCTCAAGTGCCCGCGTGACCTGGGAGACGATATAAAACGCTAGTCGAAGCATCATATTAAAGCAGAAGCAAAGCACACAAATGAATACCTCTAAGCACTTGGCAAAAATGCACTATTCTTCTACGCGTTGCACCAATCCAGACGGCTTCTTCAAGGTTGCTCAATGGCCTTTCAAAGAACAATGCATATGTGGTCTTTCATTCATTCCCACACGTCTTATGTTAACGGTAAAAATCACCTTTCTTCAGCCTATGATGGAAGCGGTAAGGTATTCAGATGCGAGTACAGTCTCATCTCTAAGCCAAAAATTATGCGTCTTGTGTGAACAAAGCAAGCTAATTGATCTACGAACCACTGTAAGTCGATGAAAAATTAGGGGAAGGGCCAGGCTTCTGCTCCATCGCGTTCCCGTCTGACTTCATTGGATAACATGCCAAAGTAGCCGCTGAGTATTCTAACAGAAATAAGGGAGAAGCTATCTATAAAAGCACATTAGTTAGAGTCAAGTCGTAGCTATGATTCCCAAATAAACCTGTCCACCAGCCTATATTCAATCCGCGTGCATGCTCCCCTGCATACATCCATCCATTCCGTGTTCATTTTATCAATCTCGCATTATCCATCACCATTTATCAATTCATTTATTCATCCATCCATCCGTCCTTTAATCCATCAATCTGATCTAGATCTATTCATCGCAAAGTCATTCATCCCCTATCCACTTTGTTTGCCTTCATGAATCAATTATTCATCTAACATAAGCTTTATCCCTACCAATCACATCCTTCAAGCTCTTCACTGTGCTTACCTGTGATAAACAATTCTGAATATTCCTTTACAAATCTCCAGTATTCGGTTTGGAGCAGTGGAGACAGCCAGGTCAAGTCAATCCTCGAAATCATCTTTGCAAACACCTTTGCCTTTTCATCCACATCACACGTTACATCCTGCATCTTCATTCACTCCTTCTTGCCGTTTCTTCTCCAACAGGATCTCAAAATACTCTGCTGTCGTCTGCATCACTACCTCTTGTTTTAAACACAAGTTCCCAAAACGTTTCGTCATTAGTGAAATGCACAGTTCCACCAATTTATGATTCAACATCACATTATCTAAAGACCAAGCTTCTGCAATATTGTCTAGAGAGATTCTAAAGGCGGCCAGTTGCAACTCTCAAAAAAGCTTTTTCTACCTCGTTCTGTGAAAATCCACACACACTAGGAGACGACCATGGAGGAGCCGAGATTGGGTACCAGAGATAGAGCCACAGCATTTCTTGCTGAGATTGTGATGCTACTTGTGTCCTCGTAGTTGATGACAGCGTCAATGATGCTGAAAGAACAGTGAAGATGAGGATATATGCATGTATCCTTTGGAAAACTGCTTCCGTTGGACTACTA